GGGTCAGTTATGCAATTTACATGTGGATGCAACTGGCATGACGAATTTCTGAGAAGTGTCTTAATCCATTTTGGTTGCAATAACAACAATCAAGGCTGAATTTCTTCTAAGCAAAGACACATTGTTTAGTTCAAACATCTGGAAGTGCCAGAGCATGACCGAAAGAGCCAGATGGGTAATGGTGCACGTCTATCTTCCCAATACTCACAAGGCTGAGGTAGGAAGGTACTGGCTCACATTCATTTGTGACTAACTTGACCTGCACAGCAAGTTCCAGGTCATCAAGAGCTATATAGCTAGATCTTGAAAAACAAGGAAGGAAAGAAGAAAGGAAGGAAGGAAGGAAGGAAGGAAGGAAGGAAGGAAGGAAGGAAAAAGAGGGAAACATTCAGGTGTCCAGGTAGAAAAGCAAACCCGCAAAGAAATGAAACTGAAAATCATGTTTAAGGGCTGACTGTAGAGATGGCTCAGAGGTTAAGAGCACTGGCTGTTCTTCCAGAGGTCCTGAGTTCAATTCTCAGCAACTATATGGTGGCCCATAGCCATCTATACTGTGATCTGATGCCCTCTTCTGGCATGTAAGCATACAGAATACTGTATACACAGTAAATAAATAAATCTTAAATAAAAAAAAAAGAAAAAGAAAATCAGGTTTAGATTGACTTTGTTTATCTGGATCAGACATAAGAGAGTTTAGTGCAGGTGGCTCATTGTCAGCATATTTAAAACAAACAGTACAGATTGGGAAAGGTTTCCAGGCAAGAATCATTCCAACTCCAGGTACACAATAAAGCTTCTTTACATAGAGACTTCTTTACAAAGTATATGTGACCATGAAGGTGGGTTCTATAGCTGAATATCTAACGTGGTGTCTGGCTGAGATAGCATAGAGGGTAACAGGTCAAAAAGCACCTGTGACATCTCCTCTAAGGATAGGTTATGGTTGAGGGAGGAAAGAGTCTGAGATAATCATTCTGGGGAATCTAGGTGAGGTCTGTCTCTATAGCAGAAGGTGGGTGAGGCCTACCTCTACAGGTAGGGAAGAGGTCACCAGGTCATTAACAAAATCTACCCCCAGCCTTCTGGGCAGACAAACAGGTGTTTTATTTCCTTTGTTGTGAAGAGGCCTCTGTGTGTCTAACATTCCTGGTTTCTCTAGTGATTTGTGTGTGCAAAGACCTTTATGCCATCAAGGAAGCAACAAAATACAATAGGAAGAGCATGGCAGCCCCAGCAATAGCAGCCCCAGCATGACGGCCCCAGCATGAGGGCCCCAGCATGACAGCCCCAGCAATGGAAACACCAGCAAGACAGTACCAGCAGCACCAGCAGCCACTTAACTCTGGGGAGGGCCTCATAGCAGATAGTATCACCTTGTGAGATATCTGAGAGAAGCATGAAGAGAGATTTTGAGGCCAAGCATGTTTTATTATGCATGCATGTATATGTGTGTGAGTGTATGTATGTATGTATGTATGTATGTATGTATGTATGTATATGTGGGTATGTCTGTATCTCAAATCATAGTACAAATGATTAGTACAAAGCAGTTCCCCGAGAACTACATCAGCATCTTCTGAGGGTGATATCTCTCCAATGACCCAGTTGTCTATGATTCGACCCACCTCTTAAAGGATCCACAACTTCTCAACACTGTCTTTCTGAAGATCAAGATTCTATCCCATGATAGTCGGACATTTAAGCCATATACAAACTATAGCACTGTTTAGTAGCCATCACCTGGCTCTCTGTGATCTTTCTTTCCTTTATATAAATACAGTCCTAGTTATGGTCACCACTGCTGTGATGAGTCACCATGAGCAAGATAACTTGGTGAAGAAAGGGTTTATTGGGTTTGCTTCATCATTACTGTCCATCATCTAAGGAAGTCAGGACAAGAACCCAAACAGGAACCTGGAGGAAGGAGCTGATGCAGAGGCCATGGAGAAGTGCTGCTTACTGACTTGCTCCACATGGCTTGCTCAGCCTACTTTGTTTTAGAAACTAAGACTTCCATCTTGCAGTGGGCAGCAGTGGTAACCATAACTAGGACTGTATTTATATAAAGAAAACCTTTTTGGTCTAAGACACTAAGCATTTTAGAACTCTTACTACAACGAACAGCCTATATCCATTAGCTCAGTTGATAAAGCATTTCAAAGTAACATGCCCAGAACAGGAGGCCTGATCTGCCCTGCATACCCCACATCTGTTAGTCTCACAGTTTTTCATCTTGGTAAATGGCAGCTTCAGCATTCCAGTTATTAGACCAAAAATTCTTATCATAGTCGTTGACTACTCTAGAGTAGCAGAGTTACTGCTGGTACATACATGAACAGGAACAAAAGATCATTGCTGTGGAGATTGCATTCAATGGAAATGAAGGAGTAAAAATGAATATACATCCTAAGTTAAATGCATAGGGTTAATATATATGCAACATGTTATATTTAATTTTAGGTATGTGGAAAAGGACATGCAATAGAAAAAAAAACCCAACAGAGCAAGATAAAGAGGAAGGAAGGGGTTAGACTAAGGTTCAAGGTTAGTCAGAGTTGGCCTTAGTGATGAAGAAACATTTTGGCAAGGAACAGAGACCTGAAAAACTTTTGCCATATAATCACTGTGTGCAAATCTCTACCCCAAGACAACATCCATATGGCAGCATACAGACAGGACCCTAAATCCCTAATTCACAATATCTGGCTCTGGTGTTTGTTATAGCTAGCCCTCCCCCAAATAGTCTCCTGACCTTTACCGCTCACAGCCTTTACTAAAAATCACTTCTGTTTGTGACGGTACAATTCTTATAACTCAAAAGTGTTTTCCCTGGGATCTGAAAGTCATTCTTTTATTCATCAGACAGTGTGGGACTGTGTAAGGGTATCTTGGCTTTTGGCAGGGCATGGGCCTGGAACCCCGAGACTCCAAGGGAGAAACAGCAGGTGTTCGGCCATGTCCCCAGAACCCAGGGTCCTGACACACAGTCTAGTCTCCATGGACCTACCTTGTTCAGTCACATAGGCCATTACAGCCCCTCCCAAAGTGCACAGGTAGAGTGTGTGACTATAGGCCTCAGGCCCTAGAGAGATTTACATACTAGTGAAGGCCAGAGGGCAGAGCCAATTAAGCATTCTTCCCCAGACCCTCCCCACTTTCTCTCTCCCTATTTAACTCAGGTCTTCCCTGAGTTTCATGAGGGTACATCTAGATCCATCTACCATCTGCCATGAAAGTAAGCCCTTTTGGAACTATGGACATTGTCATGTCATTGGGGCTGCACTGTGAGGAATCACGCAGAAGGCCTTTAGTGAGCTGTTGTAGCCACAACCGCTGTAACTTCCCACCTGGAGGAACTTTCTGAGTTTCCAGCCTCCTTACCCACAAGACAGTGGTGAAATGTCTACTTAAACCTTTCCACTGTGATAGCACCAAGAATAAAGGATGAAATTCCTGTCCTTACCAAAACCAAAGTCAACTCAAAGGGTTTCAATGTCAACCAAGCAGTTCTGAAAGGCATCTACAGTCACAGAAGGATCTTCACATCACCTACCTTCCCTGCGGCCCAAGAGGCAGCTCAAGTACCCAAATACACACATGAACAAAGACATAGGCTACACACAGATACATACAACATAAAAAAGCAGAGTGAGATGAAAGTGTAAGGACATGGAAAATGATAACATTTAAATGTGTCAAGGTCGAATTTTGTGCTTCTGAGTCCTGCTTCAGACTTGTGAGGATTTGAGAAGCTACTGTACTGATTGCTGACCACATGGTTAACTACAAAGGGAATTAAATGCATAAATCTTGAATATTCATGGACTCTGACCTAACTTACATTACTGTTTCCGATTACAATATAATTCACTTAAAATCATTACTGAATTTAAAGTCACACTAAGTAATTGTTATTATGAAATCAACAAGCACCAATGTCACTATTATAAATCATTCCAAGCAAAACTTCAGCATCAAAAAAGAAGCATGGTCAGCATAGTACCTGGAGGTTTGACATAGGAAGATTCCCAGGTGAGGCTAACCTACAGTGCTCAGCAAGAATTTATCTCAAAACAAAACAGTGCATTTAAAAATATTTGTTCTATGGATTCTAGAACTAGACATTTGTTTGAACTTTGTTATCACTTGGGTAAGTGGTAAGAAAAAGTCTGAATCTCTTTCTTTCAGTAGAGCTGTAATAAAATAATTAACCTTGGGAAGTTTCACAATTACAGAAACATAAGGAATATTTGGTGCATAGCAAATGCCATGTATTGTAAAAAGGTGAGGTCACATCGTACTTAAGAACTGATACTTTTTCGAGCATGTTGTTCCCAAAGGGTTTCTCTCTCTGCTTCTCTCTGTCCTAAATAACAAGGAATACAAGAGAAAATTGTTACACGAACCAGGTGAGATATACTGAAGAGCTGGCAGGCAATTTCTCAACTACTGTCTTTTCTCTGTATATGGCATTATGTGTGATAGGAGAGACCCTTATTTTGATTTACATTGTACTATAAACAAAAGCAAACATGTCAAGTTCAGTTTGGCCGTTTTTTTGGTTTCAGATCCTAAGATTAGTGTGGCTGAACAAGTACACAGAAAATACAGAAAATTCTTTGCCAAACAAGGCTCTCTATACGTTTTACTCATCTTCTCATACTCTTAAAAAATTGAGTCTCTGTATAGTTTTTTCTTTTATAACGGGAGCGTAATACACTATAGAGAAGTGGAAGCAATATCCTTTGCACTTTAAGGTTACTGGCAACTCCCGAAAACCCTTGGTTAGTCCTCATGTCAAGCAGTACGCAGGGAACGCCTGAGGCTGCGCTGCTTACGTCATCACGGCTCACCGCACGGGGGCGGGGCAAGTCTAATGGCGCTCTCCCTCTGTTAGTTCCGAGTTTCGAGGCCGTGCACTGTCTCCTGTCTCCCTGCCCTAGAGTCCCTGCGCGTGCGCAGACTTCTCGTCGCTAGGAGGGCCAAGCAAGGGCGGCGACTCCAGGTGCGGCGGCTGCTCGCGTGGCGCAGCTCAGCGGATCCTGACGTCGCCTCTCGGCCGCCATGGCTGAGACACAAGCGGGCTCAGTCGGAGAGCCGGATCCCGTCTCTGTGGTCACTGCCAAAGCAGGACCTGAGGTGTCCTCGCCTGGGACCTCGAAGTCCGGGGACTATGACAGCAACTGCGTGTTCTGCCGCATCGCGGCGGGTCAGGAACCCGAAACTGAACTCTTTCACTGTGAGGTGGGCGGCGACAGGCCGGGGTGGGTGGGGACCCGACCACCAATCCCTGCTCGCAGGCTTCTGTCTCTGCGCGGACCACAGAGGTTTCCAGCGGTGCCTTTGCTGTTCAGTGGGGAGAGGCAGTAATAGAACCAGGCAGTCTCACCTCCCTCTGCATGCCTTTACAACACAGCAGCATCCCGTGTCCTTTTATTATAGGGAGGCTTCCTCTTCTCTAGATAGTAATTTTATATTATGTATACTTCCAGTATAGTTAGAGAGTGTACAACTTGCAGAAAACAGGACATGGGAGTGGTGAAGAAGTGTGAATTTGGCTGAAAATAGGCTGGAATGGGGTTTTGGGACTGGGTCTGAAGTCGAACTGATACTTACAGTTCATAGCTTGTAAGTGGCTACACCATTGGCAAAAGATCTCGCTTCCCTTATCAACTGTGAGGGCCTCATGAACTCCTTCCCTTTTCTTTACAAATCTCTACAGACCTGTGCAGATCAAGTGTAGTTAATCATACTTGCTGCGAGTTTGAGAGTGCAACAGACATGTCATGCCTGGAAACTCCAGAAAACTCTCCCCTTCCCCTGGCTCTACATTTTTTACATTTCATTATCCCCAGTGAGGAGTTACTCTTTTGAGCGCTCTCTCTCTCTCTCTCTCTCTCTCTCTCTCTCTCTCTCTCTCTCTCGCGACTTGCATTTAAAATTCTCATTACACATATAACTTATATAAGTTGTTGGTGTATAATTATACCAATAAGGGCAAAGGAAATTATTTGATTTTGAATAATCTGGGTTACCAGCATCATGAAGAATTTGTTTGAGAAACCTTTCCAACAAAAGTCAGAGATGATTCTTTGCCTCCCAGATGTCTGTATAGTTTTCTTATTATATTTTTCAGAATTCATTTAAACAAAGGGCATAGCACATATTCTCAGCAGGGGGCTTACCAGTACCAAGGGCAGTGTTTTACTCTTTGTGTATGAGTCACCGGTATACATATAATACACAAATACCATGCCTGGTATTCATATTTCATGATATTGATATGAATTATTTTTAAGGGGCTCTTAGAAGTAGCCCAGTGGTAGTAGTACACACCTTTGATTCCAGCACTCAGAAGGCAGAGGCAGGAAGATCTCTGTGTTGGAGGCCAACCTGGGCTATACAGTGAGTTCCAGGACAGCCAAGGCTACACAAAGAAATCTCTTGAAAAACCAGAAAAACCAACTAGCTAAACAAACAACCAAAAAAAAAAAAAAAGGAAAGAAAGAAAGGGAAAATGAAATGAAAAATGAAAAAAAGTGTTTGAGAAATCATAGAAATGTTGCCATGCCTGAGCCCATACTTAGCAATATTAGCTGATTTAACTTCCCTTTTGCTAATTAAAATTGTCAACACCTTAGATACCATGGTATTAAGATGTTCTTGGAAATGTACTTGCTTGTTTTAGATATGAAGGGAGTTACTGGGAAGAAATTATTGTAGCTATGTAAAAAATATTTTTGAGAATTATTTTTTTAGGAAAGTATTGGAAAAACAGTAGAAGCAGGTCCTAGAGTAGTCTGTAAAAATTATAACTAAAACAGCATGGTAGATCATTACACAAGATAGCTTTTCTGCTTTGTGCTTAAAAAAAAAGACTATCCTAGAAATAATTTTATATCTGTGTAGTGATTCTTTACATTCATTTTAATAGGCACTCAATACTTTATTGTATAATTTTACCAACATTGTCATTGAGTTGGGGACAGTTGGCTTCTCAGTATTTTGCTCTGGGAAGTCGTACTATAAAGAACAACTGTAGCCTAGTAGTAGTGGCACACGCCTTTAATCCCAGCATTTGGACGGACAGGCAGATCGCTGAGGTTGAGGCCAGCCTGGTCTACAGAGAGTTCCAAGACTGCTAGGGCTACACAGAGAAACCCTGCCTTGAAAAACCGAAAAGGAAAGAAAAAGGAAAAACTGTGGCCAGAGGTGTAGCTCAGTGGCAGAACTTGCCAGGTGCGTAAGCATGCTAGGTCCTCGGTCTGATCAAACTAAAACAGAAACAAATAAAGAAAACAATAAAAATACTATATGTGTACATACAGATAATTTTGTATTTTTTGGCACTGTATCTTTGAGATTGGATTATTTTTTCTTAATAAAGGTTGGTTCAGTAGTACAATAGAAGACAGTAAAATCACAGAACCAGTTTCAGTATTTTAACAGCTTAATGGAAATGCAGTTAACAGCTAACTGAATTATCCAGTTCCTTTGCCATTAAATTTAAAAAGTCTGTCTATCATATTGGTTTATGGTATATGTGTATATGTGCATATGTAGAGGCCAGAGATGAGTGTTGGCTGTCTCTTTTATTGCTGTTCACCTTATTGCCTTAGACAGAGTTGTTCACTGAACCTGAAGCTTGCAGATTTGGCTAGACTTAGTGGCTGAACCACCCCTCCAGGACCCCACCTCCACCTTCTAGCACTACTAGACAACAGACTCTGTGTGGTGCTGGGTCTGAACTTGGGTTGTCAGCTTTCATCAGGGATTCATCTCTCCAGCCCAAGGCTTGATGGTTTCTTCTTGACCTTTTCTAAAACATTCTGTCGACACCAGTGCTTATGTCTATAATTAGAAAGACCGTAATAAATGGATCGAACTGTAGGCTCTGTGCTTGGCATCTTAGCTAATTATGGTTAATAGTATGGGTATGAGTTTCCCATAACACTGAATCCTGATTCCTGGAATACAGAATTGATGGATAGCACTCCATCCAGGGAATTTTGCTGAGAAAAACTGTTTATTGACTTAACTTTTAATTTTGAGTGAAAAAACTTAAAGCAGGGATGAGAAAATATATAAATAATAAAATTTAAAAGTGAGATTTCCGTCTGGAGAGATGGCTCAGCTGTTAAGAGCACTGACTGCTCTTCTGAAGGTCCTGAGTTCAGTTCCCAGCAACCACATGGTGGCTCACAACCATCTGAAGACAGCTACAGTGTACTCATATATGTTATTTAAAAAAAAAGTTAAAAAAAACTAAAAGTGAGATTTCTTTTTCTTTTTTCTCTGTTCAAGATTTCCTTTTGTAGCCTAGCCTGTAGGTTGTGCTTGAACTGTCTTTATAGACCAGGCTGGCCTGGAGTTCACAGAGATCCCCCTGCCTCTGCATTTTGAGTGCTGGGATTAAAGATGTATACCACCACTGCCAGGCTAAAATAGATTTCTGGTAAGAAAGTTTTAATGAATTTTACTCATAATTCTTCCTTGAAATCAACTTAATATAACAAATGCCTCATGACAGAAGCCAAAGCATATTTTTGTGAATTTAAATAAGGCTCAGCTATAAAATTGCTCATTAGGCCTATATTGTAACAAAAATGCCATTTCCCTGTGCTTAAGTCACAGCACAGCAGAGTAATATTGGGAATTTTTTTAATTTACTAACCAATATGCATCTCTCTTTAGAATGAAGACCTAGTTTGTTTCAAAGATATCAAGCCAGCCGCACGTTATCATTATCTGGTGGTGCCGAAGAAGCATATTGGAAGTTGCAAGGATCTAAACAAAGATCACATAGAAGTGGGTAAGATGATAACAGTGTTCTTTGTGGCTATAGCACATTGAATTCTCTTTAAATACGGCAGTGACAATTAAAAAAAAAAGTCTATTCGAATTATCAAGAAGAAAGTAAGACTTCTTGAAACATTCTAGCTAAGAAAACCAAATAGAAAATTTAAAAAAATGACAGTATACTTTCCATGTATCTGTCACACTGACTTTAATTAGTAACGTGTGGCCATTTGATTTCATATATTAACCAGCCACTATGGATTTGAAGCAAATTTCAGATGTGAGAATATTTAATTTCTAAAATTGTTTAAGAGATAATGAATGATGCCTTATACTATTTTATTCTGTTGTTTAAGACTGGCCATCAATATCTTAGCACTAGCTGGCGTAGAATCCACAGAAGCCTCAGAGACTTTGCACGTTTGACCATGCCTGGCTTTGCTTTGTACTTTTAAATGATGGTCTTCTTGACTTTGAAATTGAAAGGTGCTATGAAAAATTATAAACAAGTTAAGTTTATTATAACCTTATATTGCCTGATAATTTCAGATGCAGATAAAGTAGCACCACAGTTTAGTTACAAGGTCTTTGTTTTGAACTTTTAGCTTCTGAAAGGGAGACTCGAATTTTGTTTTTTTGAGAATTATTCTGTATTACCTACTCAGTACTTCTTTCAACGTTTTTCTGATACCTTTTCCTAAGACATTTTTCAGTTTATCCAGGCCTGTTTTAGTAGCCTTTCTCACCAGGGTCTGGGTTTAGTTTGGCAGTGCTGTATGGTACTCTACAACAGATAAATCAGAGTAGAGTCTTTAGAGGTAAGAAAACTCTTAGATAACAAACCTTGGTGGTATAGCATTATTGTTCATGAGCTTGTGGGTGACTGAATTACCAGTTTGAAAGTTGTTTCTAACTAATACAACATTTTTTACGTATTTGTTCTAACCATGTGCTTTAGAACATATATTATTTATAAACATAGGGTAACATTTATTCTTATAGACATATTTACCCTATGACTGATTGATTGTGTATTTCTTACTAAAAGTTTTTATTTCATTCTTTGGATATTTACTAGAGATTATGTAACCTCTTAGGAAGTTTTATTTTATCTTCAAGGTAGAGGTAACTTCATGGAGATTAGAAGCAATAACTAGTTATTATAGCTGGTGCGTATCAGATGTTATAAACATTGACCCTGATGTCATTAGGAATGCTTCTTATGTGATTATTTTCATATCAAAATCTTAAAAGTTGTTGCACTTAACTTTAATGTAATTTATAAAGTGACAAAACTAAATATGTCCATGGAAGGATGTGGTTATAATGTCAAGTCCACCCACTGTTACTGATACTTCATAGGATTCCACTTACTTGCAGAGTGCGTGGTGTTTAAGAGCATATGTTCACCCAGGTAAAACATATTCTAAGCATCAAAATAAAGTTTGTAGCACTTTTTGCGCTTGAAATCTTACAAAATATATTATCTGAAGGCTATGGAATTAAATTAGATATTTAGCATGGCAGTAAATGTTTTTATGTTACACAGACTTATAGTAAGTAAATATGTCAAAGAAGAATTTTTAAATGAAATAACATGTTTCTAAATAATTTCAAAATAGAAAGACATGTTAAACATATTAAAATTTATGGAGCATAGCTAAAGTTCCCAGAAGGTCATTTGTAGCTTTGGATGCTAGTATGAGAAAATAAGTCTTAAGGAGCTGGAGAGGCAGCTCAGTAGGTAAGCGTGCTTCCTGCTCTTCCAGGGGCTAGCACTTCACAATTGCTTACAGTTGCCTGTAACTCCAGCTCCAGGAGATCCAGCATTCTCTTCTTGCTTCTGTGTGCACTTTCACTCATGTGGTGCACACACACACACACACACACACACACACACACACCATATACACACACAAAGAAAAATAAATCTTTTTTTTAAGAAGAGAAGAAAATGAGTTTCAAAATAAGTAACGTGAGTGTCTACTTGAATATAGCAGAGAATAGGGGCTGGAGAGATGGCCCAGAGGTGAAGGACACTGACTGTTCTCCGAGAGGACGTGGGTTTGGTTCCCAGCACCTACACGGCCACTTTTAACTGTCTGTAACTCCAGTTCCATGGGGTATGACACTTATTCTGACCTTTGTGGGCTTTTACATAGTACACATACATATATTTAGACATACACATACACAAAAATTAAAAGTTATAATTAAAAAATACAATTAAAACATAGGTAAAGATAAAATAAATGCCCCAAAGAAGTAAAGTTTTAGTGAGCTTACTGTATACCATAGTATAATATAGTTTCTTTCCCGGTTTACAGTTGAGAGCATGGTAGCTGCTGGAAAAGCCATGCTTGAGAGGAATAATTTCACAGACTTCACGGATGTGAGGTATGTATGCTGTGAGTAGAAACTAGCATTCTTGATTTTTCTGAAGTTTGTCTCTCATGAGAAGGGAAGCAGCAAGTGGCAGAGCTGTGCTTCAGGTGCAGTGTTCCTCGACATGAGGCAGAAGTTCATTGATACTATAAACTTAATAAACCCTTTTTTCATGCTTCAGCATCTACCCAAAACTTCACTTATTGTTTGGACAGATAAGTTTCACATACAATAGGTATGTAAAATAAGACAAAAAAGTCCTCTCTTTTTGTAGTTCTATATGTTAATTCCTATAGAATTGGGTGAACTGAATTTACTTCTGCAGACTTACATGGTTTACAAATACATTGTTGGGAATAAGGAGTTGGTTTGGTGGGCAAGCGTGCTTGCAGTGCAAGCCCAGGGACCCGAGTCTGAGTGCCTAGAATTCAGGTCAGAGGCCAGCATGGTATAAGTGTACCCGAAGTCCAGGATGGGAGCAGAGAGGAGGTTCTGGGGCTTGCTGGCTGCTGGGCTACCTCCAGGTTTAGAGAAAGGTCCTGTCCCAAGATAGACAATCAATTATGACACCCAGCCACATACGTACACGCATACACACCATCATTAGGCTTCTAACAGAAAGGTAACTTGAATTTATTGTTTATTGAACAATTGCTTTTTAAGAATTAAATGCTTTTCTATTTAAAAGAATGAGCTTACACATGTTTTATAAATTAGGAAATTATAGACAAATGTCATCTAAATTGTTTTAGTATTTAACAAGAACCTTTTTTTTTGGTAATAATTGATATTACTATGGAAATGTTGGTTAGTGTCTGGGTATTGTATTAAAGGCAAAAGCCTGCCATCTACTGGCTATGTCTTAAAGTCAACAAACACTGTCTGAATGTCTGTACATTTGTGTTGAGGGTCATTTCCAGGAGCATATCTTTGCAGAATTCTTATTGTGGTAAGTACCAAAGTGACTAGTAGTGATGCAGCTCGACTTTGTAGAGGCTGCGTAAGGCTGTCCTTGATAAATGGTGTGAATTGTCTATGAACTTCAGCATGAAGGGCGTTGGCACTGCTTGAGCATAAAGAAGACAGTAAAAGATCTATGAGTGGCAATTCGCTCACCGCTGAATAATTTTACTCTTACTTGGTTTCCATGTGCTCGCTCTCAGATGCCCTGAGAAGTGAGTCATCAGTAGCCTCCTGTGTTTCAGGATGGGTTTCCATGTGCCTCCGTTCTGCTCTGTCTCTCATCTGCACCTTCATGTCATAGCGCCAGCTAAGGAGTTTGGCTTCTTATCAAAGCTGGTTTACAGGCGGGACTCGTACTGGTTTGTCACAGTAAGTAAGCCCGTCACAGCAGTGGCATACAGCAGATTTAAAGTGTTTGTCTCTTTTGTTTTTGTTTTCTTAATTGCACTAGACAAAGAGTTCTGTTTGGCTTGACCACTTACCTTAATAAACTGCACCCAGAAAAAAAAAATATATATACATATAAATATGTGTGTGTGTGTGTATATATATATATATATCTCCAGAAATGTGTACATTTATTTATTTTACATTGATGAATATTGAAACAGATCAACCCCACCTCCACCCCTGAGATGTGTATTATCCAGATAGGCCTTGAAATTAGGATCTTTCTACCAGTCTCCTGAGGGAGCCGGGATTACAGGCTCATGCTACAATTCCCAGTTCCAAATAATATTTATAACTTGAGGAATTTTCTGGGCATTCTGATTCTATAGGATGAGAAGTAGGACATATATACAAACGCAGAGCTTTAAGAATTTACATCAGGGCTGGGTGGTGGTGGCATATGCCTTTAGTTCCAGCACTTGGGACGGAAAAGCAGGTGGATCTCTGTGAGTCTGAGGCCAGCTTAGTTTACAGAGTTAATTCCAGGACAGCTAGGGCTACACTGAGAAGTCCTGTCTCAAAAAACAAAAAACAAAACAAAACAAAAAATTCAGATTACATATAAATTCTGTCTTTTCTTAGTTGAAGATCATATACAGATAGTTTTAAAAGCTCATGTTCTTTTTACTTTGCAGTACTAGGAGATTGAATGCAGTTCAGTATTTTCATATTTCCTCTGCTGGTACACATGCTGTGATTTTCTTTACCACATCCCAACCATAGTCATGAGCCCATTATAATCAAAGAACCAACACTGATACATCATCCCTACGCAAGGAATTAGCCCACCTCAGATTCCACTCTTCTTGCTGTATTTCCTGTAGGTTTGGGTAGATGTCTGACATGTGTCCCCCACTCTAGGTCCACACAGAATCATTTCACTTCCCTACAAATCCTCTATGCTCTGCTGTCTGTTGTATTCCCCTTCTCTTTCTTAGCTGCCAGTGATATTTTTAATGTCTCCAAAATTTTCCTTTTCAGAATTGTTTGTTCGTTTGTTTCTTCCTTCCTTCTTTCCTTCCTTCCTTTTTGTTTATGTTTCTTTGAGACAGGATCTCACTGTGTGGCTCTAGCTCTCCTGGATCTTAGACTGGGCTGCCCTTGAATTCACAGATCTGCATGCCTCTGGGATCCCTGAGTGCCGGGACTGAGGCATGTGCCGCACGCTGGGCCTTCAGACTTTCTCATAATTGGAATCTCAACAGGATATAACACTCTCAGAGTGACTTCTGCCATTTAGTAATATGATCTTGTTTCTTATATATCTAGTTTAAGACATTTTTAATATTGCATTTATTTTTCTTTTCTTATAGAAGCTTTCTAATATTTAATGTCACTTGGAATCTGCCAGTTTATATTACTTTTACTTTACTATAATTTATAGAACTATTGTATTTTCTTTTTGCAAGATATTTTTAAAACAAAATATGACATTCCTTGTTCTTTGGTGTTACAAGGAAAATTATCTAACAGAGGCACTGATAACTAGATTGAACCATATATTCATGTTTTTTAAATTTATTTTTTATTACAGGTTGATTATTTGCTTGAAAAGCTAAGAAAATAAAAATGTGAACCATGGACAAGTTCCTTACCTGACTCAGAGGAGCTATTGGTTTGCTCTCTTTGAAGGCTAATTGCAGTCTGAAGGTTTGCTGGCTCATACATAACACTACCACTAAGTAGCCTTACATTGTTTTCTGAATATCTATTTCCTGATATATGTCATAGTTATGTGAGAATTTTCTCACTGCCTTCTTTGTTTTAGTGCTCATTTATGTAAGGTTTTATGCATAAGATACTATACCTAAAAGTCCATTTAATACCAATTCTGCTAATCAAGATGCATCCTATAATTTTTTTAAAGTTCAAGTTTCATTTATTGGTGAATAATAATTTCGGATGAAGAAACTGGCATAAAAATTTTGAACCTTATTACAGTGAAAGAGAAAAATTAGCCATTTTATGAGAATTCTGTAGTCTTATACATACATTTTCAAAATAAAGAATACCATGCCACCAATATTGTGTGATCTTGATGATAGATGATATGTACATATCACTTTGAACTGTTTACACACACACACATTAGTTTCCCCTTAGCCATAGGGAAGATGTTCTCTGAGTCTCTCAGTGAGTACACACAACCCAGGATAATACCAAAACCCATAATATATCCTGTGCTTGTTCATTATATGCATACCATAGATAAATAGTTTATAACAAGCATATTAAGAGATTAATGACAATGATGTTAATAAAATAAAAGTTACAACAGTGTACAATTAAAATACTGCCAATGTTCATGATTGCACTCTGTTGCCATATTAAGTTGAATACAGTGACTCTGATGCTATGACAGTTAACCTAATCACTGAGGTGGGAACTATAAATGAGTAACGTATACAGACTGTGTGGATGGTTCTCATCCCAGGTGGGCTAGAGAGGAATGGTGTGAAATTTCATTTTTTCTGTGCAGAATTGCATGTAGTTTACAATATGTAGATTGTTTATTTCTGACACTTTCATTTACTATTTGGGGTTAACCATACGTACCTAAAACTATAAAAGTTAGGTCACAAAAGGTGAAAGTTTAGATAAGAGGGAACTACTTTAATGTACTTTTAAATGAGTGCTTATAATAACCAGCAGCATGGTTATCTTAACAAAACTTATGTGTAGTTTTCCCTGTCAGGAGACAAGGACAAATTAGTAATGTACGAAAGGTGACAGAAGTTGTTGTCATATGGTACTTTTTTTATCAAAAGAAAATGAAGGTAAGTAGTGGTTAGATCAACTCTTATTATGAAAAAGACATGACTTGAAATAGAGACGTAGATAAAGAAGTTTACCTTGATAACATAGTGCCTATTGGCATATCATTCAGTGATAGTGTTTATTGGGAGTTGTTGTTGAGGTATCAACAGACACAGTAGTGACTGAAGGAGCGCAGGTGGTGAAAGCCAGTTCTACATTGTGCCAATGTCTAGTAGTGTTATGTAATTATGCAGCAAGAAAGAAGCATAAAGACTAATGCATTATAGAAATCTGCTAAGATTTCTGGCTTTTTTTGATTGTTTGTTTTGGCATGCTCTTATGCAATTTTAAGTAACACACCACTTATTGCAGTGCTTGTTTATAATATCTATAGTTAAGTGTTCTGTAGCATGATTAAAATTCATTCATTTAGCAAATAGTTTTTAATATTTAATGAGTACCAAACACTACTGGGATCCAGAACTAAAGAAATGATACCAATCAGCCTGCATTCAGTTGCCAATGCTATGAGAGTAAGACAAAAATATTATTAGATTTTAGTGTGTTAAGTGTGGCAGTGTTCATGCAAGTGGCCATGAAAGGGAGAACTCTGATGAGAATAGGTAGAGGTAGCACACATTGAAATTCAAGACTCAGTGTTAGGCAGACTGATGGTGGGAAAACTGAGAACCTTGAGTTCTGTTTCCACTGTTAATTCAAACATCTGAAGGTCGGTTTACTCACTAGAAATAGAGAAAAGGGCTATGGGCTGTCAAAAAGATTTATAGGTTTAAAGCACTGCCTTGTAAAATAGCTTTCTAACTATTTATATAGCTGACAATTTTTTTCTGTACTAGTAAAAATATGACAAACTTTAGGAAAAGTGCAACCTTGGAATGTTTTACGCTGTGAGTTTGCAGTGATGCAATTGGTCACATTAATGATAGTACATGGAATGTGGTTAAGATGCCTTTAGAGGTAAATTTACATTTAAAAATGTAATTAGCTGGTTGATTCTGTTTGTATAGGTTTATATCCTCTTATGGGGGCTCAATGGGTCTGGTGCTTACTGCCAGGTGATGAAACCCTGAGGACCTGTGTTAGATCTCTGGACCTATGTGCAGGTGGAACAAGAAAATAAAGGAGTCTACAAAGTTGTCCTCTGACCTGCACACATGATCTCTATGTATTGCCGCCCCCCCATACATGACTTGTATGTATTGCACACATACACTGATGATAACAAAAATAAAATATAAAATCCTTAAAAGAACATTTTTAGTGTACACTTTCTTTACCCATAAAGGTGAATAGTCAAATTACAAGAAAAATCTATTTATCCTTTTAGGTAGTATCCAGTAATACATTATCTATCCATGATGGCACTCGAAAGCAAAGCTAATTAGCAATGTGTCTTATTCACCATTGTATTCTTCATTGCTATGAAGAAACACAATGACCAAGGCAACCCTTATTAGAAAACTTTTAGTTGGGGGCTTTTGTACAGTTACAGAGGTTTAGTTATCAGTGTGGTGGCATACAGGTAGCTCTGGAGCTGTAGAGGAGTGCTGCATCCAGATCCACAGGCAGAAAGAGACACTGGGCCCATATGGGCTTTGGAAACCTCAGAGCCCACTCCCAGTGCCCAGTGACACTTCCTCACTCTACTTCATTAAGGCCACACCTAGTTTTTCTTTCTTTTTTTTTTTTTAAAGATTTATTTTATGTATATGAATACATTGTTGCTATCTTCAGACACACCAGAAGAGGGCATCAGAGCCCATTACAGATGGTTGTGAGTCACCATGTGGTTGCTGGGAATTGAACTCGGGATGTCTGGAAGAACAGTCAGTGCTCTTAACCACTGAGCCATCTCTCCAGCCCCACCTAGTTTTTCTAATTCTTCTCAAACAGTTTTACTCCCAGGTGGCTAAGCATTCAGACATGAGTCTGTGGGCATCATTCTTTTTCATGATGATATGTTAAGGAATGGTCAGTTATAGAGTCCAGCAATAACTTCCTACCTGTATTAGTTTTCTAGTCAAGTTTCATAAATGCAAATAAAGAGGAATCCTAGACTGGGTGTTGCGCACAGGCCTATAATTTCAACACTTGGGAGGGAAGATAGAGTTTGAGGCCAGTCTGAAATACATGAAAAGTAACTTTAGGGCTGAAGAGATGGCTCAGTGGTTAAGAACACTGACTGCTCTTCTAGAGGTCCAGAGTTCAATTCCCAGCAACCACATGATGGCTCACAACCATCTGTAATGGGATCCGATGCCCCCTTCTGGTGTGTCTGAAGAGAGCAATAGTGTACTCATATACCTAAAATAAATAAGTACATTTTAAAAAGTAACTTTAAAGTGTATTTTACTGAATTTTCATTTATGTAGTTTGTAAACATGTTCTTATATTTTAGAGTATTATCCTAACAACTTATCAACTAAAATAGCTTACCTTTTATTATCAGAATGATTTTTATTTTGATGAGAGGGAGGGAAGGAGAGGGGTGCGCTAGTTTTAAGGGTTTAGCTCTTGTGATTATAGTAGTACTTCCTTCGGAGTCAGAACCCAGAAAGGCAAATAGACCCAGCAGAAAGTCCTTGTGGCTGGTTTGTAGGTACTACACCAGAGAGTGAGAATGTTGCAAAGTCCATCACCTTGGCTACAGGTAATTCCTCCTTACTGCTGAGTAAAGCTTTTCAGGTGTTTGGGTAGGAGCACCCATAGCCAGGTGAGTGAATCATCGATTCTCTAGAAGAAAACCCAATAAACTCATTGGTTCCTTGGAGTGAACTCTGGTGATACTGTGCCTTGTTTTGTTGTTGAGATTTTAGTAGACATGGTAGCTGTTAATTACATTGTCCCCTGTGAAGGATTTTAGCAACACTAACAAAGGTAAATCTCTTTTTTTAAAAAAGCAGGAATTCTCATTAAAAACAACAAAAAACTTTTCCCAATGTTATTTACTGGTCCCATGCAATAAACTATACATTGAAGTTTGAATATTATTACACCCAGTACTTGTAGCTGTTATCTGTAGGAGGCAATATTCCAGTTCCTATAAGAAAATTGAAGCCCACAGATGTTACAAAATTTGCTGAGAGCATAGGGATAATAAATGGTGGAACTGAGGTTTGAGTAACAAGGTTCACCACTGTCTGTGTGGTGACTACTTGCTCACTACCACTAAGTATCAACTATGTTTCTGGCACTAGGAGAAGTAGGATACTTTTGTATGCTGTACATTATCCAGGTGGAATGCAAAACCTCCATAATACAGGTCTTCAGAAGGGGTTCAGTACTTTTAACAGAAATGACACTTGTAGAATATATGTGTGGGTAGCTATGTATCTTACAAACTGTTATGGTATTAGGCCCATCTAAATAATTAGGGTTACTTCCACCAATGGTTTTAATCTACCATTGGCTGTGTGGTTGTAACAACATAGCATAATTACTGAATGCTAGTCTAAGAAAGGCTTTGTTTGGTTTCTGTACAGAGCAAACCCAGGTGCGTCCTTGACAGCTCTTGAAAAATTTTTGCAAGATCACTAAAGCATTTTTAAAGTTGAACACCACACTCAGTGTTCAAGCTGGTGAGGCCTAGAATCTTGAACGATTAGGAGTCTACACTGAACAGTGAAGTTTTGGTCCAGTTTTCAAGAACTGATGGAGGAGTTGGAAGAACACTCCCAAGTGGAGTATCACTGGGGAACTGCGCGGGATCATCGCAGTCTGCCCCTAAAACAATGCATTTCTGACAAGGGGAGCAATGCCAGGATAGCCACAGACTTCGGTAACAGCAAGATCTGGCTCTGCCCCGTCACGGCCCTTCCTAGAAGGTGCTACCTGTGAGCGTTCCCGGTCGAGCTTCCGTTTCCGGCTCTGGGGTGAGGCTCAGCGGAAACGTGGCTCCAGGGAGGAGGAGGGGGCGGGCCCTTGGAGGGCGCGCAGGCGCACGGTAGCAGCCGCAATGGCGCTCCCGGGCTCCTTGAATCGGTATCTGCTGCTCATGGCACAGGAGCACCTGGAGTTCCGCCTGCCGGTAAGCGGTCCTGGGGTGCCGGGCGCAGAGGCTCGCACTCCGCACGCGCCGGCTTGGGAGTCTCTGCCGGCAGCTGCGCACGTCTGGATTTGGGCTAGGATGAGGCCGCTGGCTGGACCGAGTCCCCAGCAGCCTTTCGCCAGGACCGAGCCTTGCCATTCAGCCCTCTGCACGTGCGCCTAGCGCCGCAGTAAAGCGGGTGAACCTGAGCCGACGCAGGACGGAGACATCCATGGGGGCGCTCGGTGGAGTGTGAGAAGTGTCAAAATAGGTTCAGGCATGGTGGAAGGCTTGGGGTGGTACTTGATGAAGTTGGGGAAAAGCTTTTTGTTTACTCGAAACATTTTCTAGAGCGCCCGAAGTCGCGTGCACAGAACGCTGAGGACGCGCTGACTGACAGCTCTGCCCTTAAAGAGCCTAATGTTTACTTAGGCTCAGGACTAGCAGACGCAAAAGCATAGTCATAACTTCGTGAAGTGCAATGATGGAGGGCACTTTGTGGAAGCCTTTAAAAAGGGACATGTTGCCTTTCAAGGTGAGGATGACATGAACTACAGTATTGGCTCATACAGTATTGGAGGGTAGATTTTTTTTTGCAGGGAAGACATATGAGCTACAGTATTAGCTGGACCAAGGAAGTACATTAGAAGTGTAAACTGTTGTCCATTACTAGTCACCAGTTATGTAGCAGAGTGGTAAAGAGAGAGAAGTAGGTTGATGGACCAGAGAAAACAGAGTTGAGAACTCTATAGCTTGGAAGAGGATCTAAACAGTTTAAAAAGGAAAGAGGCAGGATTAGATTGTTTTTAAGAGAAAGTAAAATGAAGGACAGACTCGAGAGCAATAAGACTGGAGTTAATAACAATCTGTTGGAATATTAAGTGATTAAGAAACTAGTGTGAGCAATAAGAGAACGGGATAGAGTGGCGGTGTAGGAGATGAGACCAAATCTAGATTGTTAGACGCATTTGTCATTGTTCGGCCTAAGAGAACCCGGAAAGGATGAGATTTCTTTAACTTCGTGTTCAAAAAGTGGTGAGCCACTGGGACTGAAGAGATGGCTCGCTGGTTAAGAATACTCACTGCTCTTCCAGAGGACCTGAATTTGATGCCCAGCACCTGTATCGGGATACTGCCTACAGCAGTTTGTAACTTCAGCTCCAGGGGTTGCCCCACACTTCTGGCCTCCATAGGCACCAGGCCTTCCTTACTTTTGTGAGTGTACCCACAGGTTTAAAAGAAGTGGTAGGCCAAATACAGATGCTTGGAAGCTCAGGACTTAAAGGAAAACTGGAAGGAGAGAAAGAGAAGCAACATGTCAGACGTAAGGAGAGAGTGAAGGTTTCACAAGCAGGGATGAGTAGTAGTGAGTGTACATGCTTTGTGGTTAAGATGGAGGTTATGTCTTCCTGAGGAGATAAAAAACGAGGGAAGGGAAATAAGGTAGACTTCTCTCAATCAGAACGTGCAAAGGGAGCATAGAAGATACAGTTAGGGAGCACTTAGGGAGTAGACCTAAGGAGAGGACTGAGCTTCAGGTACCACCATCTTGGTTGTCGTACTGTGCTGATCTCTACATACGGATATCCTACCCCGTCTGGTAGCTATGATAACATACATGTAAAGAATTGGAGAGCCTAAGGGCATGGCAGTATTCACAAGATCTGAACATCAAATTGTAATCTTACTCCATGTTTCATAACGTCTCATATTCCAACCTGTGGTGTAAAAGAGCCCTTGAACTGTCTTCACTGCTGTACCGACAGTCTGCACTGGTTTATGATCCATCCTCATGCTGGGATTGAACTTAGCCCTCCCTACTTCTTATACATCTTTTTATTCTATGATATTCATGGCAGTTTATTTTCATCATTCACCCCCCAACTAAAACTAATAACCTTCTTGTGTAAGAAGCAACTTGATGCATCCCCAAAGGGAACTCGAGGTAGCATTTGTTGCTTACATCTCCCATTGTTTGTGATTTGGAATGGGAAACTTGATAATGCTATTGTTCTCTCCTGATGGCCACGATCATGGTATAAAGATGTTCTAGAAGGGAGGGAAGGAGAGTGTTGGCAACCAGCAGCAAGGACACTTAACTTCTTAGTTACTTTCTCCTAGGGCCAATGTGGAGGGATAGAATTTACTTGCTGTATCTTATTTAAGCAAACAATTTGTCAGTGTGACAAAGCAAAGTATTTGTACAGCCATTCCATGTTTATCAGTACAAAGAGATTACGTGAAGAGTGTATGCATTCTTTGGTCAAATTTCCTCATGGACGTTACATTTAAAATGTTCACTCTGGGCAGGTATGGTGGTACACTCCTGTAATCTCAACATTTGGCAAGCAGAGGCAGGTGAATCAAGAAGGCAAGGCAGACTTGGTTATATGACAGTCTCAAAAAGCAACCGAACAAAGACTGTGTTAGCTTTTTCTAGTTCTATTACTATTCTGAAAGGTTAACCATGTACTTATATGTTTCGAACTCAAAATTATGCTCCTTAGCTAATTATTTCATTTTCTAACATCTTCAAATTATGTTTAATAATTAACTTGATACTAGTTGATTATTTTATCTACTAATCTGTAGCATCTGTAAAAAAATGTTTTCGCCTCCCTAAGTCAGGACAGAACAGTTTCTGACGAAGTTCTTTTGCAACTCATGTATAAAATCTCTCAGAGATTGCTAACCATGGTTAGAACTGTAAAACTCTCAGAACTCTGTATTCCAGTTGCCTGATGCTGACACCTGTATGGCTCATGTGACTCTCCGCCTACTCTTTTATTTCTATCATCAGACCTGCTCTTCTTAGCAGACTGAGTTTAAAGGGTTTAAAATGCACATTAGTCACTTGTCAGAAATAACTGGAAGGAGCAGAGCTTGGTTTTTGACTCATGACTTCTGAGAGTACAGTTGGAGGCAGAGTGGAGTGGCTTGGTTGGAGGCGGGGTTCTGAGGCAGCTCCATGTTCACTTGACACATACCAAGAAACACGAAGCAGGCTGGAATCATGTGGGAATAATTCTCAAAGCCTGCCTCTTAGTGATGGACTTAGCCAAGGCCTCCTAAAATACTCTCCAGTGTTCGAAGTAGTATCAAGCTAAGCACTGACCTGAAAAACATGAGCCCTTGGGGAACATTCCTGCCTCAAACCATAACAAAATGTATTTTCTCTCTATTTTCAATACAGGAAATCAAGTCTTTACTATCACTGTTTGGAGGCCAGTTCATTAACAGTCAGGAAACTTATGGAAAGGTAAGGTGTTTTTTGTTTTTGTTTTTGTTTTTGTTTTTTTTTTAAGGGAATAGGAGGTGGTTTATTTTGGAGCCATCTTGAGTGATTATGGCCTGGGAACACAGATTTACATTACCTTAAATTCTGTGTACCAGTGCAGCAGTTTTCCTGGTTTTACAGAACAAAGAAAGTCATAAATTAAGATAAGGCTGAAATATGTCCCAATATACACCAGAGAGATGGTTATAGCAAAATGTAAGAAGCGTATCTACAGACCTGAGATGCTATTGATGACGTTCTTGGCTCTTGCTGGGGGGAAGCGTTTTTTATCTATTAGTTCAGTATACTGGTTTCCACACAGACAAGCAGGGTGCTAAAGCTAGCCCAAGGCAGGTCCTGCAGTTCTCAACAGTCATTCGGTCTCTGAACACAGCTTCTTTCCTGAGTTCTTGGTTACAGTTGCCCTGGTAGGCCAAGCCTCACAGTTGTGCATACAGGCACCATATATGTTTTTTCTAAGGTCTTCGAGCCAGGAATGCTTATTGCTAGTTACAGATGAGGCTGAGAAACAGTCAGGGCAGCTGTCCTCAGGAGAGAGGAATAGCACGTTAAGACTGTTAACCAAGAAACTTGTGGATTATATCAGAACTGTAAGTCATCTTGATCTGGATCTGAAGTACTTTTTTTACTTTTCCTGTATCTGTTAGAACACTTACATGTGACATGTAAGTTCCTGTATAATTAAGAGCACTGTTCTACCTAATGGAGTGGACGTAACAGATGAGAGAACATGTGTTTAAAATAACTAAAATGAGCGTGTTCAAGTAGATTGACTTTGGTTCCTCCTATATTCACAGCTGTTTGTGCTCTATGAACTAACTTGCTTACATATATTTGAATGGTTAGAAATGAGACTTCAGAAGAGTTTCTATACTAATAAAAACCCCCTTTTTAATTAGTAACATATAAGTATCATTCAATTACATTTTAATCCCTGATAATTGTACTATAGGACATTTTAGATACTAATGAAATCAAGGACTTTCAGTACTTGTTATTATTAGAGATTAGTATCTTTTGTATACTTTGGATAAAAAGAGTTAACCTAAATTTTTGAGTACCTGCTAGAGTAAAAGCTTAGTTTAATAGCTAGATTTATTTTATCCAAATTATACTGAATTATGGGATTATACATACATATATATAATAATATATATACATATATATTATTATATATATAAAATCATATAACATACACACAGACACAATGGAAACACTTGAATTTTTTTAAATAGTACTTTTAAATAAGGTAAGGGTTTAGGGTGGCACACAGAACATAAAAACGTGATTAAGAGAAAGGACATGATGTCTTCATTTATAGCTTCATAAAAACTAAGACTTTTGCATTATTTTATCACTGTGAAATATACCAGGAGTATATATATGCCTTTAAACCTAACACCTATGAGGGAAAGGCTGGAGTATCTCTGAGTTCGAGCAAGGCCTTGTCTACATAGTGAGTTTCCGGATAGCCATGGTCTCTCACCCCCAACCACAAAGAAAAGAAAGAAAAACAAATAACCAGGTATAATATTAAATATCATAATGATTTAAAAACTTGAATATCTTAAAATCAAGAGTTTATTTGATTGTTTGTTTTTTGAGACATGGTTCCTGTGTAGCCCTGGCTGTCTTGGAACTTACTCTGTAGACCATGCTGGTCTCGAACTCGCAACCTGCCTCTGCCTCCCAGTGTAGGGATTAAAGGTATGAGCTACCATAGCCTGGCTAAAATCAGAAGTTTTTAAGAAACAGAACATGAGAAATGTCAGTCACTCGGGGTACTCCACTGTCAGTACGGTAGCATCAAAGATGCGTATCATCCAGCAGTTTTGCAGTCCATATGGATGTGCTCTCAGATGATGTGAGTATGTATCAGAACATATCTATATATGACCATATGTAGACCATACATAGACCATAAATGAACCATACATAGTAGCCCCAATTTTTGGTTGTGAGGCTTGCTTTTAATGACTGAGCCGCCTCTCCAGCCCTGTATCCACAATTTTAAAAAGCTAAGGTAACTTACCTTCTTTGAGCTACTTTGAATTTCTCTGTAGTGTAGTATCAGTGTTGGAAGAAGAAAGATTGAATTTGACAATCTCATCTTTTTCTTTCAAAAGTCGAGAGGCCTTAACTTGAAGTCATCTGTTGTTGGCCTTTGTTCCAGAGTGACTCCATCACCCACAGGAAGGAGGAGGGGAGGAAGTGGGTCTTCTGTGTGAGCATGATGAGCCGAAGGCAGGCAGGGCACTGGTGTGCTTGCCCACCTTCTGGCAAAGGGCTGTTTTCACAGAACTTTCCAGACTGATTATTGGGTGCTGGGACTGAGGATTGAGGCATTTTTGCTTTTTTACATTAAATAAAAATGATAAAATAATTCAAGTTCATAACAATAATCCACAGCATGGCTTTACATCATCATTAATTCACAGGACACCTCAGGCCACAGATATCCATAAAATGAGAGACCAGGTTGAGCATGGTAGCATATCCCTGTCATTCTGTCACTTGGGAAGTTAGGACAGGAAAAGGAGGCTTGTGAGGCTTGGTGAGGTGTATCTGTGTGTGTTGGGTGGGGGAGGATAAGGTGGGGATGTGTATCACAGTTTAGTTTCTCTTATGATGATAAATATCATGACCAAAAACAACTCGTGGAGGAAAGGGTTTATTTGGATTATACAACCTGATCCCAGTTGGTGATGATGGGTAGTCGGGGCAGGAACCTGAAGGCCAGACTTAAGCAGAGATCATGAGGAATGCTGCTTACTGGTTTGCCCTGTTTGCTTTCTAACTTGCCCAGGACTTCCTACTGAGAGATGGAGCAGCTCCCAGTAGGCAGGGCCCTTCCTTATCAACCACTTATCAAAAAAGTGTCCAGCAGACTTGCCTCCAGGCAACCTGATGGAGGCAGTTCCTCATCTAAGTGTGCCAAGTAACAAAACCCCAAACCATGTAGAGAGTGAAGAAACAAGGCTGGAGGGAGAGAGAGAAGGAGAGATTTAGTAATTTAAAAAAGAAGTCACAGTGTACTACTTAGTTAAACATATTGTTAGGAATGTTGAGTCACAGAAAGTCCAGCAATGCACTCTGTCTCTCTGTGTTGGTTTTCTAGTCTAACTTTATAAATGCAAGTGAAGGGAACTCCTGAGCTGCATTGTGTGTGCACAGGCCCATAATTTCAACACATGGAAGGGAAGGCAGAAGCAAGGTCTTGACACGTGGAGTGTGAGGCCAGTATGAAAACTGGTTTTAAGAAAAAATAACTTTGCTGGGCAGTGGTGGTGCACGCCTTTAATCCCAGCACATGGGAGGCAGAGGCAGGTGGATTTCTGAGTTCAAGGCCAGCCTGGTCTACAGAGTGAGTTCCAGGACAGCCAGGGCTATACAGAGAAATCCTGTCTCGAAAAACAAACAAAACAAAACAAAACAAAACAAAACAACAAAAAAAAGAAACTTTAAAGTGTATTTTACTGATATTTTCATTTATGGGGTAGTTTATAAAAGTGTTCTTACATTTTAGAGTATTAGCCTAACAACTTATCCACCAAAATTATTTATCGTTTTATTATCAGAATTTTATTTTGAATAGAGATCAGATTTGCCTCTTTCATATGATAAAAAGGAATTTCTCCTGGTGACTGTTGGAATGAAACATATTAGACTTATTGCAGCAGTAATTTGCATGCCTATTTTTTTTCTTTCAGTCTCCATTTTGGATTCTTAACATTCCCTCTGAAGATATCGCAAGAAACTTAATGAAACGGACTGTGTGCGCCAAGTAAGTGAAGCGCGTCGTGTGGGCCACAAGGTCTCACAGCCACTGTGGTCTGCTGCTTGCTGTGGAAGGTAGCAGGGGGCAATCAGCTCGAAGTTTGACGTATTTACCATTGGGTGATGATGAGGGAACAGAGTTACCTTCTGCAGTAGAGGCGACAAGCGCATCCTAACACTAGCGGGAGCCTAGTATTGAATGAGTGACACATTAGGGTAACCAAGTCGTGGAGAATCTAAGCCTGCTTTTCTCATTCTTGATTTTAAGTTGAATGATCAGATTAGGAAATCTTTTTAAAAGATTTATTTATTTATTTATTTTATGTGTGTGAGTAAGTACACTGAAGTTGTCTTCAGACACACCAGAAGAGGGCATTGGATCCCATTTCAGATGATTCTGAGCTACCACGTGGTTGCTGGGAATTGAACTCAGGAAGAGCAGAGCCATCTCTCCAGCCCTCAGATTAGTAAATTTAAGGTGACAGAACTGTCACCTATATCTGTTAGAGAAAGGAATTCTAAGTATATTTTTGAGTAAATTGTTTGTTGCTTATTCTTGTTTCTAGACTTTTATCATTACTCTCTCTGATTTCCCTTTAATTTTTATTTTGATTAACACTTAGTTGCTTTTTTCCTTGAATATAATGGCAGAGTATTGAAACTTTTTTTTTCTCTAGATATTGCTTTTAATAATGGAAGGAAAATAAATATATACATTTATCATGGTTAACAATGTTTTGTAATGTGGTATGAACTGTGACCTTTATAGTTATCTAACTTTATGCTGTTGAGAAGTATGCCCAGTTCTTAATCTAATTCCATAAACCACAGCTTGTTAATGAACTTGTTATTATTTAAGAATAATATATGTTTAACAATAATTTTTTATTTAACAATAATGACTAGAAAATGGAAGCAACAGAAAAAATCAAGACTACTCTTTGTATAAGAAAATATTCCATACTGAAGGAGCCAGAGCGACTGCCCCTTCCGTATGCAATATTTCTGCTTTACTTAATCATGCTAAGATCTACAGCTATTTAAGGTATTTAAATTCCAGAAGTAAGGGATATTAGGCATCAAATAGCCACCCACATACTCAGAACATACGTGTTTAAAGCTCATGTCTTTTGATGCATATGTTTGATAAGTAGACAGCTAGTAATTCTATGATACTGTAAAGCACATGAGGACTCACGTTTGGTTGTTTCTCCTTTCCGTGGCTGGGGTTTCCCTGAGGATGCTGCTAACGAGAGCATCCTACAAGCCCCCCAACCCCTAGCCCCGCTCAAATATATGCACATATATTTCTGCATTTCTGTATATGTATAAATGATGAAAACTTGGAAATACTCTAACTAAATGTTGAATTTCCCTCCTTTCATGTAAGGTTCAACTTCTTTGTGTGATTTGGTGTTATATTATTATTTGTTTCCAGTGTTCATCTTTCTCACAAATAGATTAGAAAGCATAGCCAATGATCATTTTATTGTATCAAGCATAAAGAACTATTGAAATAACTATCATGTATTGCTGTCTGAACTAAGTTCTTTACTGAGGTTACCAATCATTTATTTCCTAGGTCTATATTTGAACTATGGGGCCATGGAAAATCTCCCGAGGAGCTGTATACTTCTCTTAAAAGTTACCCTGTGGAGAAGATGGTACGTACTGAAATGTGATTTTACATAGGCAAGTGTGCATGTTTGGTGTCATTCCTAAGCTTAAAAAAGCTTATCTGATTTTTTTAGGTTCCATTTCTACATTCAGACTCGACATACAAAATAAAGATTCACACGTTTAATAAAACTTTAACTCAGGAAGAAAAAGTGAAACGAATAGATGTAAGTGGTACTGGCTGACCTGGAATCTGCAGTCAGTGCGCCCTAGCTGTTGATGTATGTGATCATGTGAGATCTGCTGACCCAGAGTCTGAAGTCAGTGTGCCCTAGCTGTTGATGTATGTGAACATATAATAACTGTTAAGTACTTTCCATGGTGTGTGTTTGTATGTGTGTGTATATGTGTGTGTGTATCCTGTTTCGTTCTGACATCAGACTCAGGCTCACTCAGTATATATTAGTACATAAACACTACTTTCTATGGTTCTTTTTGTAAACTTTTGTAGTACATTAGAATTACTTTTGTTTTATTTTTTTTAAGGCACTTGAATTTCTGCCATTTGAAGGAAAAGTGAACTTAAAGAAACCACAGCATGTATTCTCCATTTTGGAGGACTATGGTTTGGACCCCAACTGTATCCCTGAGAATCCACATAATATTTATTTTGGCAGATGGGTGAGCAAATCCTTTCTACCTATCTTACGTTGTTTGTAAGTTTGTCTTGTTTCATTAAGCTAAGTGGGGGGTTTGTTTTGTTTCTTTAAGCTAAATGTAGGGGTGTTGGTCAGTCAAGAGCACTGGTCAAACATTCATGAGGCATGGAGCAAACATAGCAGAATGCTACGCTGTTATTTGATTTTTTTTATATGTAAAAATTTGAAGCAACTTGAGGGTCAGAATGTATGGATTCAAATTGCCAAAATGTATGTACTTATGGTCTATATTTTTTAGAGATCCCTGTGAAACACAAAGAGCCTGTTAGATAGGAGACCTAGGACAAGGGGGTACCTGATGATGGAAAGCAAGCCTTCCCAGGATGTCGGGACTACGGTTGGTGAAGCAGGGAGAGGGCAGAGTGCAAGGGCCTGTTTGAGATCTGTGGAGATCTCAAAGCTGAGTCTTCCTGATCTGTTCACTTCTTTGAGGCTGGAGTAGGTGGATGGAAGCCAAGACCCATGTCCTTATGTGTTGTCTTGACAGACGAGAGGGGATGAGAATACTCACGACCACCCCTCCTTAGGATAATTACGTGTAAATTTGAGTCCTACTGGATTTGAAAAGGGGTAAAAAGATTTGATTTTAGTGATCACAATATAATCCAATTAAAAATTGGCACAGAGCCAAACAGAGAATTCTCAACAAAGGAACATTGAATGACGGAGAAGCAGTTGTTCAAAGAAGAACTTTTCAAAGTCCTTAGTCATCAGGGATATGAAAATCAAAACACCTGTGAGATTCCATCTTATACTTATGGTCAGAATAGCTAAGATCAAAAGCTCAAGTGATAGCACATGCTGTCAAGAACGTGGAGCGAGGAGGACCACTCCTCCATTGCTGGTGGGAGTGCAAACTTGTACATCCTCTCTGGAAATCAATTTGGCTATTTTCAGAAAACTGGGAATAGGTTCTTCCTGAAGACCCAGCTATACCACTCCTGGGCATATACCCAGAAGATGCTCCACCATCCCTTTGATTATTTTTTTAATTGATTAAGTTTAGAATAGTAATAAGTAGAAAGAAGTGTTCTTGTTAGCAAGGTGCTCTGAGTTTATTGTGAATAATGATCTTGAGTCTGTTCTGTATAGCCAGACTAACTTGACAAATACCTCTGATCTAGATTGCGGATGGACAAAGAGAGCTAATTGAGTCATACAGTGTCAAAAAGAGACATTTTATTGGAAATACAAGTATGGATGCTGGTTTATCATTCATCATGACCAACCATGCAAAAGTGAAAGAAAATGATCTTGTCTTTGACCCCTTTGTTGGAACAGGTATTATAAATCCATTGGTTACACTAATGCATAGATGTCGCTTATTTATAGTGGTGAGGGACAAGAGAGTGAATTGACAAGCTAATCTTTCCTGGTATAATACTTAAAACATTTTGTCACTTGGTGGATGTGACTAGGATTTTGTAGGTTTTATTCCAAGTAAGCCACTGGGGGGAGCATTGGTCTTACTTTTTCACAGATGTCTTCCAGATTGTAAAAATGTTAGAGAATCATGTTACTTATTTAATTAGGGGAAAAATTTAAAAAAAAAGCCAAGAGGAAAGAAATATTCATGCTTTTACTTAAGTAGCCCTGTAGTTGGGTAGAGAGAAACATATCTTTGATTCTGTTTGTGGGAGTGTTTAAGTATGATTCTGAGGGTGACTACATAGCAGACTAGAACCTGCCTGCTGACAACTTACCATGCTGTTTGTAACTTTCCTGGGATGCTCTCCTAATTCTGTGGAAAGCCTGAAATTCCAAGTTGACTTCATCTGATTCTGACGTTTTTCTTGCCTCAGAGTGCTTTCTTGCTTGATGAAGCCCTTGGGCAGGCATTACTTTATTTAATATTTATCTGACTAACTCTTTTATTCTTGTTAGGTTAGTGACTCTCGCTGATAGTCTAAGGAGCAGTGTGCGTGCAAATGTTGAGTATTGTGTCAAGTACCACGTGCACACTCTACTCTGATGACAACTAACGTGAAGATGTTGTAAAAGGTTTCCTGAGGCAGCGACAGTGCAAGGAGGGTTACACAGTGTATCGCTTTTGTAGATTGACTCCAGCAGTCTGACTAAGAGTTCATGTCTTCTTTGCTTCTGCAGAGCTATCTCTCTCAGGCATTACTGGTGCCTCTGGCACCCAAATTAACTTCAGCAGTGTGACCAAATGTGATCCTAAAGAAATAGCATCAGGTCCAGAATTCCCAGCTGGGGCAAGGGTTTTTTGGAATTTGTTTTGAACTAATTCTCCAGTGAGCTTTCTGCTGTCTCTGTGCATCTCACCCTCAGCCTGCCCATTTCGTCTTTTCTCTCTTCGTTTACCTGAACACAGTGTCCTACATTTTGAGCTGGTTATTGGAACTAATATCAAGTTTCTTTAAAAGTTATGAATATCTACATATCCAGTCTCAGCGTAAGCTGTTGCTCACATATGGCTTCTTTATCATTTTATTTAATTTATATGTTTTCTTGAATCATTTGGAGGTTACATTTATTACATTCTTCTCTCAAATATATTAGTATGCATTTCTTTTTTCTTTTTAGTATACATTTCTTAAGAATAAGGATTTTACATATATATATCTGTATATGTCATCATATACTTATATTCTGTGATTGGATGTATTTTTACTGTTAACATTATCTTTGTTTGGAACATTACTAAATTGTTTAAGTATAGAATAGTTTTCATTTGAGTTGCTTGAGTCTTTCTCATTATTGGCATGAGTTATACATTTGCATTTGGACTGACACACTAGAGGCATGTCCTCCAGCTTACAGACTCTGATTCTCTGCCTCTCAATGCAATACTCATTTTTATCAGCATGGTGTTATAATTTGATTTTCTGTTGTGTGATGGTGACTGTTTTATTTTCTGTTCTTGCAGTTAATGTAAAGCACTGTGGTAAGGCACATTAGGAGCTAGTAAAGTATCCTGTTCCTTATCCAGATGTTTCCTCCTCTTGATAAGTTAGGATTAGCATCCATTGGCAAGATTCTTGTTTGGAACAGTTGTTCCTTATATGATTTTTCTACTCTACCACCTCTGTTACTGGTCTAAATTAATTATTTTGAAAACAAGAAACCTTTCTTCACTTCCTCTTGTTAATTTTGCTTATTATTAGCATGAACTACTAAGTCCCCCACTTTCCTCTGGTGATTTATATGTCCTGTTATTCCTTAATTACTTCCTTACTCACATTAGCCTACTTTGAGCGGGCCTTTCATATCGAATCTGTCTTTGTGACCTAGCATTCTTTTTTTTAAAAAAAGAACTTTTTAAGTTTCTGGCTTATCTTTTACATACCAAAGCCCTGGCTCCAGACATTTCTCCCAGTAACCCTTGTTTCTTTTAGTGGGAAGATAGTATCTGGGTTCTAAAGCTCTTGAGAGGGCAAGAAAGGAAATACACATGTGTATACACATAATATGTATGTGCATCCAAATGGAAATGCACACACATATACTCCTGTGTGTATACACATGATAAATCTATAGACAGACTTATAAGAAATCATGGGTTTATATTCATTTCTTTCTTGTTCCATCTTTGTCATGCATTTCCTTTCTCTGCACTGAGAACCCTGGTTCTTATGTTCAGAACGTTTGCTCTTTTGTTCAGTTCTGTAATTATCTAAAATAGTCAAGCTTGCCTTACCTACTGCTCTTAGGTGGAAAAAATCCTATTATATTAGCTTTCTGTTGCTGTGCTAAGACACCATGACCAAGGCAACTCACAGAGGCATGGGTTTATTTGGACTTACGGTTCTAGAGGCTAGGAGTCCGTCATGTTGGGGAGGTGTGGCAGCAAGTGGCAGGAGCAAGGATGCTCAGAGTTCACATCTTTTACCAAAAGCACCAAGCTGAAGGAACAAACTGGAAGTTGGCAAGACCTTTCACTCCCAAAGCCTTCACCCAGTGGCATACTTCCTCTAGCACAGGGCACCACCAAAATTACTCCAAGCAGCACCAACTGGGGACCCAGTGTTCAAATATCTGAGTCTGTGGGGGACATTCTCATTAAACCAGCACACCTACCATAAAGAATGTAAGACATACTTCCATTCTGTTCCTGCTTAAGGAGCAGTAAAGGCAGATCCTGTGCTTGCTTTTCTCTCCATTTGTTGTCGTTTCCTCTCAGTTTTAGATTTCTGTTCCCTGCCATTGCTTCTGTCTAATTATGTTAGTTTTACATACGCAGTAGATAAACTCACATCCAGGAGTCACGGCTACACAATAATGTGCTTTTCTCTTTCTCCCTTCCTTTGGTGACCAACCTTGTTGATTTTTCTAGTGATATGCCTTATGTAGTCACAATTTCTTACTCATACTCTTTTATATAAAATGTTTGATATTCTGTATGCTGTTTCTTGCTTTGTGTGTGTGTGTGTTCCCCCACTTAACAGTATTTCTTAGAGATCTCTTCCTGTTTTGAGACTGTCTTTGTTCTCTTGTTATTTTTGGAGCTGGAGATAATGCAAGCCTCTGTCACTGAGCTACATTCTAGCCCATCTTCATTCTCCTGGATAGTTCTAATTCATAAACATATAGTTTGTCTAAATAATCTCTTACACATGAGTAGTGATAGTTCTTGATGTTTTATACTTACAAATAATGCTTACAATGACCCTATTAATTTTGAAGCTAGAGCCCTGGTGTACATTCCTGGTAGTAGGATTGTTAGTTAAAGGGTATCTGTGGTGTCTCTAGATGCTGCTAAATGAATTCCTTCTCTTTTATCCAGCATTGGCTTTATGCAGCCACCTAAGAGACATCCTGCTTTCCTGCAATTTTACTTCTAAGAATATATTCTCAAGCTTCTTGAATTTTCCTGATTTGTTGGTTGAAAATAGTATCTAAATATAGCGTTAATTTATATCTGATTATAAGTCAAGTCTCAGCTTTTTTCTTTAAGGGCCATTATAGAGCACATTTTGAATAGACTTTCATGTCTTTTTTTTCTCCTGTGTCTTGTAAGGATGCTTTTGCAGTGATAGTAGCACATCTTCTTCCAGTGTTTCTGTAATAAATTGCAAATATACCTTTCCAAATTATCAGTTTTTATTTGACTTTGATAGTATTTGCTTTCTTTCGAGATAAAAATTTTCCCTGTATTTAACTTTTTTTTTTCATATCTGATTGATTTTATTTTCACCATCACACAAATTAAGAGTAATGAAATTTACCCACCACATCAGGACCATGGGTCAGTTCCCAGACCTGTTTGCTGATGTTTTTACTTCATTGGTGATGCTTGGTGTTGATGGGTTAGCTAGATGTTCAACTTGGGCATGATTGAGGCGTTGTGAAAAGCCCTCTGGAGTTGTCAAGTCTGCATTCTCTTTCCTTTGCTCTTGAATGAGAACTGCCCGAATGGGTCCACAACGATCTTCATGTGTTCTAGTGCTGAAGGAGTTCTTGGCCCTAGTCCCAGTTGGTCTTTGAAGAGATCTCTCCCTGTTCGTTGTCATCTTACTGGGACTTGTCCAACAAGAAAAATGCTGATGCTTTCTGGGAACCTTTGACCTCATCTTCCTCAGCCTGGATGTTTTTGACGCGGAGGCTGCAGCAGCCTTAGTTTTATTCTGGGGGGTCTTGTTGGCTCTCCATCCCATGTTGAACTCTCCCAGGGACTCCCCTGTATTTAACTTATAAAGGCTTTTTCTATATTTTCTTTTATGCCTCTTGAAGTGATATCTTTTTTTGTTTTAGAACTCTGATCCATTTGGAGTTTATTCTTATGAATGATGTAATTAGTGGTCATGATCTGCCTTTCTCTAGGGTCTCAGCTGTATTCTTTTCTTCTTCAGCTTTAAACATTTATTATTATGGAGTATATGTGTACACAGCATGATACATGTGTCTGGGCACAGGCTTGTGACTGCAGGTGTGTGTGTGTGTGTGTGTGTGTGTGTGTGTGTGTGTGTGTGTCTGACAATGCATGTGTCTGTCTGGGCACAGGCTTGCCACTGCAGGGGTTTGGAAGGGAGTTGGCTCTCCTTCCTCATTCTGTAGGTTCTAGGGGTTCACTCGAGTCAGCACATTTCTGCCACCAGACTTTACCCATCTGGTCATCTGCTTGGCTTGTTCTTAAACTTAAAAACAAACAATCAGAAAACTTTTTATGAAGTAAAAACAGTTCCTTGGAATTATATAATATGTATATACAACCTGACTGGTGTACACACTGAGGATAGACCTTAAGAGTTTAAAAATAACATTGTCATAACAGGGGAAGAAAAGGAGTTGAAATCCCACCTTCACAGCATTCAAGGTGC